TAAAAATGGACTGACGACGATATGGTGTTCTGAAGAATAAAGGTCGACAGTGTAGTGAATAATTCTGGAAAAATGGACCAACAGGACGTTCTGGTTATCACAAAGTCTTACACCGTCAATATGATATCATCACGAGAAATTCGGAAATATGGTTGTCAAAGTCATTTCTTGTCACTCTACTCTAAGAAACGCGGGGACTATCTGTATACGGTAGAATCGGAGGGTCCGATATCTCGTAATCAAGGTACCTCGAAAGATCATCGCGAAGGCTCGAGGCTACAAGGCTACGGTCGAGTTTTCCTTCCTCAAGGTTCATCGACGCTCGACCTTGAGATAATGTTGACCCCGGCTATGGTAGAAATGGGGAGTTCCCAAGACACACGACTAGGACTAACAAAGTCTAGTGGGTTGTACTGAACCCAAATCAGGGCGTCATTCACCTATCCCATCCCATATCTATGTAATTAATGTATTTTGTACTATGTTTGGATTTCCCTCCTATATAAAGGGAGTCCTTGTCATTTTTTAGGGACTGGTTGCTTCAGTTGCTCCATACGAAATATAAAAGAACATTCTCTCTGCTCTCTTACATATTCTCTTGATATTATTGCTTCCATTTATTATCTTCATTATTGTTCATCATTTATTGCTTATCATTGGCCATAAAGAGCCTTCTTTCATTTTATCATTATTGTTAGTCATACTTCGGTCACCTTCAATAGCTCGCAGTCGAGCCCCGGAATCGACCTCGAGGACCTCGAATCGACAAGCTCGAGGCCCTAATTGCCAACCTATCGGTTTGATTATCACTTTATTCTTTAACTCTTATTTCGTTTCTAAGTCTCACGCATAGCATCAACTGCCCTACAACCGGCATAAAAATAGATCACATATTTTTAGAGTCCCATAATCAAATTTAATTGTTATTACCATTTTCACGATAAACAATCGTGTTTATGCCTTTTGTAAGGTCTTATAAATTTGAACATGACTCACTTGAGGTCTTACAATTTTGGCTACTTGGTACAAGTATGGTTCATGCCTTGCTTGAGGTCTTACAGTTTTATTACTTTATATAAGTATAGTTCATGCCTTGCTTGAGGTTTAAAAAAAATATTGTTGTTGTTTCCTTACATAGGTCATACGAGACCGAGGTTGTCCAAATGGGATCTTATGGGCTTGGGTTTTTGATAAGCTGATGGGATGGCGATTGGCGACAGTGGTACTGTTTTGGTAAAGGATGCCTTGGAAAAGGTGAAGTTGATTCAGGAGTGGCTTTGCACGGCACAGTCCAGGTAGAAAAGTTATGCGGATCAGAAGGTGCGTGATGAATCATTTATGGTCGGAGATAATGTTCTCTTGAAAGTCTCGTAGATGAAGGGTATTATGAGATTCGCGAAGAAAGGCAAGCTAAGCCCCAGGTTTATAGGCCCATTTGAGGTGTTGAGGCGAGTTGGGGAGGTTGCCTATAAGCATGATTTACCTCCCAGCCTATCAGGGGTTCATCCGGTATTCCACGTGTTTATGCTTCGGAGGTATCACGTCGTCTTGTCACATGTGTTAGATTTCAGCACTATTTAGCCAGATATCCACAGGATCGCCAACCGGTCTAAGACGAACGTTCGTTTAAGAGGTGGAGAATGTAACGCCCCAACAGGTCGTTTTGCTTTTTAGAACCATGTGCCCCTAAATGAGACTTCCCGTACTTGCTTATACTGATTTATGACTTGCGGGGATTGTTGGTTCGGGATTTGAAAGAGTTTGGGTTGAAATCGGAACACTTGGTTCCTTAAGGTCGGTCAACATTTTGAGTAAACGACCTCAGAATACGGATTTGATGGTTCCAATAGGTTCGTGTGATGATATTGGACTTGGGCGTATGTTCGAATCGGGTTTTGGATAACTCAGGAGGGTTTTGGCGCCTAAAAGTGAAAATTGGTTCTTGAAGGTTTTAAAAGCCTTAAATTTGGTTTGGAGTGGGTTTGGTGTTATCAAAGTCCAAACAGAATTTCGAGACCGGAAATAGTTCCGTAATGTCATTAAGACTTCCACGCAAAATTTGGTGTCATTCCAAGTAGTATAAGTACGTTTCGGCGCTTTGGAAGTAAATTGAAGAACTCTTCTGTTCATAAATTTGATTCAATTGGTTTTAGGGTGTGATTCATAGTTTTAATGTTGTTTCGGGCATTCCGAGAGTTCGAGCGAGTCCGTTTTATGATCCCAAACTTATTGGTATGTTCGGGCGGGGCCCTAGGGGCCCCGAGTGCCAATCGGACTAGGTTCGGACCAAGTTGAGAAGTTGGAACCACAGCTGAATGCACCAAATCTGTCATAACCACACCTGTGGTTGGTCAGCTGCAGATGCGAGCTCGCAGGGGCGGGCTAGGCATCGCAGAAGCGGCCAAGGAAGGGCAGCCCAGGTTCCGCAGATGTGGTCCCTCCTTCGCAGAAGCGGGACCGCAGAAGCTTTTACCTGACCGCGGATGCGACCGAGTCGGCCCAGGGCTTTTCCGCAGAAGCGGGACCGCAGATGCGGCCCTATGACCGCAGATGCGAAAATCGCCGGGGGCTGTGGCATTCATTTCATATGGGCTTAGGGCATTTTTACTCATTTTTCTTCCAAACTTGAGCGATTGGAGAGCTTTCAAGGAGGGGATTTCGACCTAGCTTTTGGAGGTAAGTAATTCCTACCAAATGTGAGTTAATACTTAGATTATGGGTAGATTAACATGTAAGAATTAGTGAAACTGAAGGGTTTAGAGGAAAACCTAGAATTTTTTTTATAAAAATGAGATTTGACCACGAAATTGATTATGAGACTTACATATATTTATGGTTCTAAGGTTATGGGTAACAATTTTCATCGAACATTTCCAGAATCCGAGCATGTGGGCCCGGTGGTGAATTTTAGGAATCTTGCAACTTGGGTTGGGTAATCACTTTATTAGTGGAAATATGAACTTTTCAGCCTAAATTGATTAGTTTATATGATGTTTGATTAGTTTCGAGTCGTTTGGCGTCAAATTTGGAGGTTTGAGCGCATACTTGAAATGGCAAGTAGGCTTTGAGATGAGGTAAGTGTCCTTGCTAACCTTGTAAGAGGGAATTAACCCCATAGGTGAATTAAATAAATGTTTGTACCTATTTGTGGGGGCTACATACGTACGAGGCGATGAGACTCCGTACGTAGCTACTATTATGCTATTATTCGGGTAGTTTCAGACCCGCATCATGCTATATCTGGAATGTTTGCGCCCTTACTTGCTAATATAATCACTTAAGTCATGTTAGAAATTGATAAAAAGAATTATATTAGGTGAAATTCACTCACTTGAAGGTTTGTATGAGATACTTGACTGTAAGTAAGAAACTTGTGTTTTCTTGAAAATAATTATTATTTGTGGATTGGGCCGAGCGCCTTGGTAGTAAATAGATGCATCTATGGTTCGCGCCTTTCTACTCTCCGGCAGTGCACAGTTTAATATTATGTTGGACCGGGCCGTACGACCTTGGCACAATTTGCGCATGATAGTTCTTTGATACCCTCCATGATTGATATTGCTTAAATGTCTTGAAATGTAAACTGATAAATGATGATACTGAGTTTGGCCTTTATATTTGATAAAGAAGGACTTATATTTTTGCTGTTCTTAAGCTTCCAGTATTATTCATGAAAATCCATGCTTAGTATAACATTTTTATATATTATTGTTAGCCCTAATAAGTGTCAAGTCGACCCGTCGTCATTAGTTTTTCGAGGTTAGACTGGATAATTACTGGGTACATATTATTTATGTACTCATACTATGCTTCGGTACTTAATTGTACAGGATCTGAGGCTGTTGCATCTAGTTACCCACCCGGCGCGCTTTCCTGATCTTGGTTTGAGACTTCACAGTGAGCTGCTCCCTTCCAAGCCGTTCAGCAGCATGCAGGAGTTTCTCTTTTTCTTGTATCTGTCTATTCTATTTCGGGCAGTAGGATAGCCATCTTTTGTACATTCTACTAGCTGCCCACATACTTGTGACACTAGATCTTGGCACACTTTAGTAGACTCACGATTTTTCGGTTGTATTTCAATAGTTACAATTTCCTTTAGTTGTTTCCGCTTTTGTTTGCCTTAAAAACCCGTTATTTATCAAATACTTTGAATTTCAGTAAATTTAGTTGTTGGAATTGCTTAATAAAAATGAGAAATCACTAAGTTGTTCATTGTTGGCTTGTCTAGCAACAGTGTTGGACGCCATCACGGCCTGACATGGAGTTGGGTCGTGACAGGTGGCAAGATGCTCGACTATATTGAGATATATCAGTAGGATGGAAGAGCTCCGCATAGCTCGGTCGCGGGAGCAATAATCGGGCAAATCGGCTATGAGCGCGTCGCTGTATGGCCTCCATACGAACTATTTATTAAACACAAGAATCATGAGTAAACTCAACACATATAAAGTTAGGCGAATTAAACTTAAGTATATATGTACCTCGGGCCTTCAAGTAAATCCAACAAATCCATGTAATAGGGGACATGATTTCAAGCCTCGACCTCGCATCCGTAGCCTCGCCTATCAACCAACCTCCAAGCTAAAGGGAGAAACGGTGGAGGTGGTGCATCCGGAGCGATCGGTGGTAGAGGTGGCGGAACTTCAAGAACCACTCCTAGACCCAAACCTAATATAGATTGTAGACGTAAAATTTAAGGTATTTTTTTTACTATGTATGTTATAATCATGAAATACTTGACTATGTTTTCACCTGCAGCAGTGGTAAAAATCCAGCAACATCTCTCTGGGTACCCATGCATGCCCGACATATCTGCCCACCTAGAATAAGTGCACCCTAGCTGTAACCAGGTAAATCATCTAGCCGCTCCGGATGATATCTCAAACTGACTAGGTTTCCCGAAGTATTCGGGAACAATACACTACCAAACATTAGAAGCAGCAACAATCTCGTGTGCCGGTCAATATCCTCCGGTGGTGAATCATCTGTAATCTCTGCATCTATTGCCACCAGATACTGCCGGATGGGCATCAGCTGCAATCGACTGGCCCCACTTAATGCAGTCAGTTTCGCTGGCTGGAAACCGGTGAACCGCTGCAACATATGTAGGTAATCCACTCTCCTATAATCTCTAATAGCATGCGGGTAAGCTGCAGGTAATCCATCAACTGGTAGCCCGAAACGAACTTCCAAATCCTCAAGCGTGATGGTAGCCTCGCCGATGGGTATATGAAACGTGTGCATCTCCGGTCGCCACCGCTCTATCATAGCCGTGATCAATGCCCAGTCGAACTACAATCAGCCGATCTCTATGATCCTGTAGAAACCCGTATCTTGAAGGCATCTAACTATACAGGGATGGTGTGGGTGGTTCCCAATAAACTCCCATGTACAGTCTATATGTCTAGGGCGGAACGTCTGGAACAGACACTGCCATCCAAGATGTGTGAAGACCTATGGTTACCCTGTAGCAACAGTAGCTCTTGAGATGCAGGTCCCGGATGCACAGGGGGAACCTCTGGGACGATGTTTGTAAATTGAACAATATTAATTAAAGTATTTTTCTTTTGAATTGCATAACATATTTAAATATATTGCAATATCTTTTATATTAATATTTAATCAATATTTTTATTATATTATTACATAGGTTGATATATTTATATGTTAGTTTATTACATTATTTTATATGTTAGTTTATTATTTTATATGTTTGTTTCTTACTCAGCTATTTTTGGGTATAATAGAATTAAATAATTAATTTTCATAGATATAAATGATATAATTAATAAGTATTCATATAAAAATACTTAGTTTGACAAATTTTCTATATTGTTGTTTTTTATGTTATTTTCTTACATTTGTTGACTAAAATTCGNCCAACTCCGCAGGTGCGGGAGACACTAGAACCAGCAGCTTTAGCTGCATTTTCCAAGTTCCAAACCTTTCGTTAACTACCCGGAATCACCCCAAGGCCCCCGAGACCTCAACCAAACATAGTGAAACGTCCCATAACATCATACGAACTTAGTCAAACCTTCGAATCGCTCAAAACAACATCAAAACACCAAATTACCCTCAGATTCAAGCCTAAGAACTTCTAAACTTCCAAATTTCGCAAATGACGCCGAAACTTATCAAACTACATCCGAATGACCTCAAATTATGCACACACATCACAAATGACACCACGAACCTACTCCAACTTCCGAAAATCATTCTGACTCTGATATCAGAATTTCCACTACCGAACAATTTGCCAAAATTCCAACTTTCGCCAATTCAAGCCTAATTCTACTACGGGCCTCCAAATCACATTCCGGCGCTCCTAGGTCCAATATCACCTAACGGGGCTAAAGGAACCATGAGAATTCAAGTCTGAGGTCGTTTACACATAAGTCAACATCCGGTCAACTTTCCCAACTTAAACCTTCTCACAAGATACTAAGCGTCTCAATTCACTCCAAAATCACTCCGGACCCGAGCCAACTAACCCTATAAGTCAAAATACAGCTGAAGAACACAATAAAAGCAGGAAACGGGGGAATGGGGCTATAACTCTCGAAACGATCAGTCGGGTCGTTACATCCTCCCCCTCTTAAATAAATGTTCGTCCTCAAACGGGTCTAGAAGCATACCTAGAGCCTCAAATAGGTGTGGGTATATGATCCACATCTCCCGCTCGATCTCCCAAGTAGCCTCCTCCACAGGCCGACCTCTCCACTGCACTTTTACTGGAGCTATATCCTTTGATCTCAACTTTCGGACCTGCCGCTCCAAAATAGTCATCGGCTCCACATCATAAGTGAAATCACCATCCAACTGAACCGTGCTGAAGTCCAAAACATGAGACGGATCGCCGATGTACTTCCGAAGCATAGAAACATGAAATACTGGATGCACACTCGATAATTTGGGCGGCAAAGCAAGCTCATAAGCCACCTCCCCAAACCCTCGAAGCACCTCAAACGGCCTAATAAACTGAGGGCTCAACTTGCCCTTCTTCCCAAATCTCATAACACCCTTCATGGGTGAAACTTTCAGCAATACCTTCTCCTCAACCATGTAAGACACATCACGGACCTTTCTGTCAGCATAACTCTTTTGTCTAGGTTGCACCGTGCGAAGCCGCTCCTGAATCAATTTCACCGCTACCAATGCATCCTAAACCAAGTCCCTACCTAAAAGCCTAGCCTCACCCGGCTCAAACCAACCCACTGGAGATCTACACCGCCTCCCATATAAAGCCTCATACGGAGCCATCTGAATACTCGATTGACAACTGTTGTTGTAAGCAAACTCTGGAGTGTGATTTCTATGTTATGTATGGCCGTGCCTAAGGGCATATCGGTTGAAGTAGATTCTTCTTTTGATCAATCAAAACCCCTTCCCAAACTGTACAAGCTTCTTCCAAAGCATACGGCTTTCTGGATGTAGATGATGATATCTATACAGATGGATCTTATATATATCGTAGAATGAAGTACCACATGGGTGGATATATATATGAATCCAAATCTGCCGAATCACTCATGTTATGATCTTCTACATCCTGGGTCTTCCCGTTCCGTCATCTGGCTTATGTTCTTCATGTAGCATTCAGACCGAATGACTCTATGAAATTACGTCGATACTTCCACATATTATGGGTAACGTAGGAGACATCTCTATTTTTCCCCCGGGGAATCTTTAGAATTCCCACTGCTTAACTTTCAATTCGCTCTGACCATCAAATGAAATGTGAATAAC